ATCGATTAGTTTTACCTACTCATGTTTCTTCAGTTGAGAAAGTTGAAGCAGCAGAGAGGTTAAGTGTGAGGTGACCAGTCCCTCAAGCCTTGAACAAGTAATTTTGAGGTGGTGAGTTCCCCAGCTCCTACTTCTGCACCTGACTTCTTACAACAATATAACAGCCTCAATTCCCATGCCTCAGATTCACACTGATCAAGGCTATGGAATTGAACACTAGTTAGTTTAATATCTTTATTATGCACACCATACCCATCCTGTGGGGTGCATAATAAAAATATTTAACTAAAAAGTAACGATGCTCAGAGAAGTAGAGTAAGATGTCCACACCCCACTATGACCAGTGCAGTGCCACCATAGTGGGACCACACTGGTTGCATAGTGGTCACATCAACAGTAACAACCTCCTCCTCTTATGTCCCTTGTTTTTGGTGCCATTCATGGTGAATAAGACACATGGGCATTACCTGTTACTGAAGATGATGAAACTGGAAACAGTAGAAGTCGAGGTAATTAGTCCTTCAATGTATACCACTTTAGCCTTGAAGATTCCTCAAATAAAGATACCCAGGTGTTGCCTATGTGTTCTATTTATTAACTATTCAGTATTATAATAATAATAAATGTTTATTTCCTTGCAAAGCTTACAATGTATGGTTTACATATTATAAAACAGTATTAATTACAAGGAAGGCCTCTAGCATGCCTAGGCATTTCGGGCAGACTAAGCCTAATTCTTACTCTATATTGACACAGGTTATGGAGCAGTGCTTTTTAATAAATCTTACTGCATACTAGGTAACTGAAGTAATTAGATTTATAATAATGAGGTAGTACAAAACATATAACAATATTACAATTAGTAAATTTAGTGGCCTGGTGGCTAAAGTTCCCGCTTCACACACGGAGGGCCCCGGGTTCGATTCCCGGCGGGTGAAAACATTTCGACACGTTTCCTTACACCTGTTGTCCTGTTCACCTAGCAGCAAATAGGTACCTGGGTGTTAGTCGGCTGGTGTGGGTCGCATCCTGGGGGACAAGATTAAGGACCCCAATGGAAATAAGTTAGACAGTCCTCGATGACGCACTGACTTTCTTGAGTTATCCTGGGTGGCTAACCCTCCGGGGTTAAAAATCCGAACGAAATCTTATCTTAAGTCTTGGCATGGTACACTGTTTCTATTAAAGCTTTTATTTTGGGAGAGTTTCTTAGGCAAACTTAAGGCTAACTTAAGATTTATTAGGCAGTAGCTATATTAGGAATTTTATGTTGACAGTCATTTGGGTGAGTGTAAATTAGGCGGAATCGCAGATATCGAGAGTTTATCTATTTGTGTGCTTGTTATGATTAATGCTACGATACACCATTCATGTTTCCTAAAATATTAAATGAAATGAAAATGTAAAATATTATTTTATATTTTACAAAATAAAATGTAACTTCCTTCAGACTTTTATTCTACATGAAAAACCTGTGAATAATCAAATCTTTGCATATTTTTTTCATAAAAATGTTATTTTAAGAGGAAAGGCACACTGTAATTTAGTTTTTTAGGTACACACTGCAATATAATAGAGGTCCATGAGAAAATGGAGGTTGTTTAAAGTAAATTCACTTAAATACAGATTTTCTGTAGAATTCCTCATTGTCACTGAGCAGGAGTGACCTGTTTTACTATAAAGAACAGACTAATAAGTTATTAGTGCTGTACAAATATTTAATACATATATAAAAAATGCATACAACACATTCTGTAATTTAACAGTTAAGAAATATTACAGGCACTACACCGATGTAACTGATAGCATAGCAGTAATATACTACTTCACTATGTGATGACAATCACACCTTGCTCTGGTAGGGGACGTGATTGGTTGAGTAAGCATCGCTCTCCTGTCCCATGCTACACCACCCACACCCTGATGGTTCACACTTATGTCAACTAGTTCCAGCTGACTCTCCAAATTTTTATTCCAGCTCTCTTCATCAAAGTCACTTGAACGTTGGGGAAATAAATATTGTCAGACTCACTTTTATCTCCACTTTCTCCTACTCAGAAGTACTGTACATAATAATCAAAAGGCTGTACTAATTAGATTCTTAAGATATTTTAATAAAACAACAAAATGAGGGCATAGAGGCATAAGACATGCCAATAATTAAGTGTGCGATTACTAAAAATAAAAATGAACACCTTCAATCTATTATTTGACCTAACAACATACTACGGAGTCCAGAGGCTTTGATAGGGAAAACTGTCCAGGGCCTCTCCAAAGAGGTTGATATCTTGGTGCCAGTGAGCTTTTATCCTTCCTTTCCTTGGACCAGACCTGAATATCTCCCATTTCCCAGTGTGATGCATTGGGACTGTTGTCTCCAATATCTGTTGTGAAAATACAAGAATACAGCCTTAAATATCTGTTGTGAGGATACAAGAGTACAGCCTCAAAAGTGTTAATCCCTGACTTCCTGGAGTTGGTGTGGGATCATCACCCTCACAGCTCTACGTGGTGACTTTTTTCCATGAGAAACAGCCAAGGATGGGGGTGGTGTACTAGGCCTTTAAACAGGCAGGCCCTGCTTATACAGTAGGTTATGTTCCGGGCTACTGCTGTAAAGTGAGTCATAGCCTTTTTTCAGTGACTGTTTTCCATGAGAAACAGCCAAAGATGGGTGGTGTATTAGGCCTTTATATAGGCAGGCCCCACTTATACAGCGGGTTATGTTCTGGGCTACAGCAGGTTATGTTTCTTGGTTAGGCCTCATTTAAATTATGCTGCACAGTTCTGGTCACCATATTACAGAATGGATGTAAATGCACTGGAAAACGTACAGAGGAGGATGACAAAGTTGATCCCATGTATCAGAAATCTTCCCTATGAGGACAGACTGAGGGCCCTGAATCTGCACTCTCTAGAAAGGCGTGGAATTAGGGGGGATATGATTAAAGTGTATAAATGGAAAACAGGAATAAATAAAGGGGATGTAAATAGCGTGCTGAAAATATCCAGCCAAGACAGGACTTGCAGCAATGGTTTAAAGTTGGAAAAGTTCAGATTCAGGAAGGACATAGGAAGGCACTGGTTTGATAATAGAGTTGTGGATGAGTGAAACAAACTCCCTAGTGCCGTCATAGAAGCTAAGACCTTGTGTAGTTTTAAAAATAGGTTGGATAAATACACGAGTGGGTGTGAGTTGGACCTGACTAGCTTGGGCTACCAGGTCTGGTGCTGTGCTCCTTCCTTAAGTGGAAGTGACCTGACTAGAGGTCACTGCTCTAGGCCGGGGGGTGGCATGGACCTGCTTTGCATGGGTCAGTAGGCCTTCTGCAGTGTTCCTTCTTTCTCATGTTCTTATATATTAACTGAGCAATACAGCCAGGCCTAAACAACGAATATACAGTTCACACATTACTTACCTTAATTTAGAGTCAGGAATGTCTGCATTGTTCATTCTGGACCTTATTTTGAAACTCATTTTTTTAATTTTCGTGAAATTGGCCAAATTGCAAATTTCTGACCACGTTATTCGGTAGTTGAAATCGATAAATAGGCAGTTTCTTGTACTTAATCGATAGAAAAAAAGGAGTTCTAAAGAAATAGCAATGAGTTTGGTCGACTGGAACAATGGAATTAGCAGAAAATAGGGATCAAAGTGGGCGAAATCGCCGATTTGTAAATATCGCCGAGGTCGCTAACTTCGCGAGAGCATAATTCCGTCAGTTTTCCATGATTTTTTTTTTACAATCGTGAAAAAATTCTCTATCATTTCAGTATTTTTATCCTTAGCTTATAGTGAGTATTGAATATATTTATTGCAGGAAGTCTGAATGAATGAAGAATGGGTATAAATGAAAACCGCTGTATTAGTGAAACATTGTAAAGTGGGGCCCTCATGTACAGTTAAGAAGACAGGGAAGAAATATTCAGTGTGAGATCTGCCTGGAGAGAGGACCTGCTAGCTATGGTCTTGGGACATGTGTGGAGAGGCTGGTCTGTCACTGTCTGAAGAACAGGTATGGTGTCACTGACAGAATGCAGATAGACACACGTGCACAGTTCAAGACACTGATAAAACAGTGGTTTTATTAGTTTTATCAGTGGTTTCTTCAAAACTGAATATGCCACTCTCAATAAATGTCTTGAATTCTGCATGTGTTTTGGTCTATCATTATACTGGGGTGTTCACTATGGAGGAATTGGTTGTAAGAATTATAAAAGGCTTAGCTAAAACTATATTAGGGTAAATAACAACACTGCAACTAGCCAAGGATTCGAACCCATGATGTTTTGGCCTGCCTCATGGTGAGCAAAAACACATGATGCTCTAACCCACAGGACCAAGCAATCCTACAAAGAACCAAGCACCTAGCCAAGCTAGGTGTGTTACCCTTGGTCTGAGGACATACGGTGGTGTGTATGTCCTCGGACCAAGGGTAACACACCTAGCTTGGCTGGGTGCTTGGTTCTTTGTAGGATTGCCTGGTCCTGTGGGTTAGAGCGTCATGTGTTTTCGCTCACCATGCGGCAGGACAAAACATCATGGGTTCGAGTCCTTGGCTAGTCGTAACGTTATTATTGATCAATACCACTCGTTTGTGGTTACAATAATATATCAAGGTAAGCTGATATCCTACTGCATCATTTTGTCAAATGGGCACTGTGTATTTTCTTCTCATTTGTTTTATGCTATTAAGTTCCCAGTAACACAGTACAGTATATATGTATTTTTATATGTCAAGTAATTTCAGTATTTCTAATAAATTCCTTTCATTTGTGGTGTTAAAACACCTCATACCTCCCTTCCCCTTTCCCCTCTTGAAAGTAAGAATGCCATCACTATAAGACCCTTATACATAAATTTAGCGCTTCTTCCTGATTAAAATTATACAAATACAATTTATTTAGAGCAAAATTGTGGTGTAACAACGAGGCTCGCTCTGATATGTTTACTTTGCTGATATGAGACACATGTACAACAATGGGGCAAAAGCTCTCACCTGTATGATCTTGATGACCGGTTCTGACTGGAACAGCTCTGACCAGCGGTGGTGATGCGGGTATCTTTGGAACCTCTGTAGTCTTTCCAAGGCTTCCTCATCAGTGCCTCCCATAGTGCCTCTCCAACCTGCGCCACAATGGATACTTTTTAACTGATGATGCACTGTACACTGCAGTTATCTTTATAACTGACCATATTTTCTTACATGAATAAGACATGTTCTACACCTGGATACCTTCAATGTGGCGACCTTTCACCCACCAGTAGTCATTATCAATCCAATATAGGGAATAAACGGTGAAATACGTGAAGAGGGATTTGAGATAATTAGTTGCCCAACCATGAAATGTGTTAATCTTGATAACGTCGACAGACTCGACATAATAAAGACACCAAAGTGTTGCACGTGTCTTATTCATCTACCTGTCGGTTCCTCAGTCATTAATCAATATAAGACATCTTTTTTTATTCACTCTCCACTCTTATATAATGGTGTGAAATAAGCTCGCCATGTACTTGCGAACTACCGTTATACTGAATTTGTATGGCCTCAATGTGAACGAATTTTGAGCCAAAGAATTGGAACTATCATCCGATGCATGATTGTATAACTTCTTCGGGTATAGCTCTTCCCCGTGAATACAACAGCAATAATGTAGAAGGGGTCTTGTTCCAAAGAATTACAACCACCCTCCCTTTCCTTGAATCAATCCTAATTATCTCCCATTCCACAGCTGCTGTACAAAATTTATAAATTTTGTGCTTCTCTATGAATATAATAATATTCATGTAGTATGACTAGCAAGAATCAGTTACGTAGTATGATCAAGGCTGGACTGTCTTGGTCTCAAGAGTATAATGAGGGAGACAACTGATGCCAGTGCCATTTCACCCTGAAAACTTTATGAACAAAAACTAGCCTACGTGAAAAGGATTTGCTTACCTTTTTCTTCATGTCAAATCCTATGAATATAAAAGCTCCCTGAAGACCATTGAAGACAGTGAAAGGGTACCAGAAAGCTGGGATGTTAGCGAACACAGCCACAAAGCCTGTCATCCAGGAGAGACCTTGAATCACCCCAAGCTTAACGTACAGTATTAGACGCACACGCTCCTTTGAGCTCCTCCGGTTCTGCCAAAAGAGTTGCTGAATATTAAAATACATTATAAATGAATTAGTTGGTTGGTAGACAAATAAGTGTGAAACGGCAGTCTATTAAATGCTTTGTGCCCTGACACGACTGTTGTTTTCTTTTTACGTACTACATACGAATGTTTGATGGTGAATAAAATGTTTCAAACATTACTACTCAGTATGTATTCATTTACCCATATTTTTACCTTTCAGTGGTTAGTGTTAGATGCTTGAATACATGCGATATTATATATATATATATATATATATATATATATATATATATATATATATATATATATATACATTATATAATAATTATATATATATATATAATATTATATATATATATATATATAATATATATTATATATATATTATATATATATATATTATATATATATATATTATATATATATGTATGTATGTATGTATGTCGTGCCGAATAGGCAGAACTTGCGATTTTGGCTTAAATAGCAACGCTCATCTTGCCATATAGGACAAGCGAAAATTTGTATGTAATAATTTCGCCAAAATCATTCTGAACCTAAGGAAAAAAATATATTTCATTGTTTGTTTAGTATTAAATTACTGTAAACAAATTTAAAATATATTTTGTTGGGTTAGGCTAAAATAAATTGCTCTTGTTATAACAAGGTTAGGTAAGTTTTCTAAGTTTCTTTTGGTGCAAAATTAAAAAAAAATTACATTAACATTAATGAAAAAAATATATCTTTGAACGTATAAGATTTAGATTTTTAGATTTTGCCACCGAAGTGGCTAGTTTATTGTGCACCTCATATCCATCCTGTGGACGGTAGCGCGAGAGCATATGGATACACAAAAGGCCTAGGAACTAGGCCCCAAAGGGTTAACAGGAATACGTATAAGAGAAAATTTTGGAAAGGACTTAATTTTAAATGAGTTCTTGCTAATTGACCAGTTTTACATATTCGGCACGACACTAATATATATATATATATATATATATATATATATATATATATATATATATAATATATATATATATATATATATATATATATATATATCAACAAGTCGGCCTTCTCCCACCGAGGCAGGGTGACCCAAAAAAGAAAGAAAATCCCCAGAAAGAAAATACTTTCATCATTCAACACTTTCACCTCACTCACACATAATCACTGCTTTTGCAGTGATATATATATATATATATATATATATATATATAATATATATATATATATATATATATATATATATATATATTATATATATATATATATATAAATAAACAGGTCATTTGGTTCATACTTTGATAGTTGGGTTTGTGGAAAATCCTTGAAGGATTTTAATAGATCGGTAATGTATAGAAAACATACCTGTGTCATCTGCTTGGGAAGGCCTTGCTTCTGGATCTTCTCAGTAGTGTTGTTGGTTCCATGAACCACGTGTCCTTCCTTAACACTCTGGGAACGGGTGTTTGCATACCTTGCTGCCTTGGCCTGCTTGTATATCTCGCGAGACGTAACAAAAAAGAGGATGGTGTTCTCTAGGACAATGGTTCCAACCGGAAGAAGGAAGAACAGTCCCAGACCATAGCGGTTATTAATCCAACAAATATCAGTTGCATACTTAGGCTGATAGTCTGGTAATGCATTAACGTTATCAATGATGAGCGATAATGTAACAACCAGCGCAGGGATGCTCCAGGCATACAAGGAGTACAATATGTAGGTTCGACGAGCATCTATGTCGCCCCTGTAGAGCTGACTGGTGAATGTACGGCACACATCAACGCTCATAACATTCATCCAGCAGAAGGAAGCGAGCCAAAAGTAATGCAGAGTGGCAGCAATGAAAACGCAAACTTCATGGTTAAAGGTTGCTCTCATTCCTGTAAGGAAGATGAGGTGTGCAACAAAGAGGCAACAACTGAGGCAGAAAAGGTTTTTTCCTGGTAGGTTCCTGTAGCGTGGCACCAGGAGGAAGATTATAATGTGTAGTGCTAGCCCAGTCAATGAGAGGAGCAACACAATGAGAGTCAGCAGCTGATGTACCTCTGTGAACCCAGCTGTATATTGATAGTGATCATTGCAGATTAATAAAAAATTTTCACTGAATATTTCGTATTCACCAGTCTTGTATACTTTCTGTGAGGCATTGACAAGCACAGAGCCATCATCTCGAAAAATGTACTCATTTTCAAAAAGCATTATCTTTGGACACGCCTGATCGAGTAAGGTGGAATTTTCTACGGAGCGGTAGGCTACCAGGTCCTTCACACATTCCCCATTTTCTAGTTTATAGAGCTGCCCGCAATAAATTTTCTTACATGTCAGGTGAATGGGATCCCACAGTTCATCAGCAGCATTACAAGTTGTCTTCCCTAAAGTCCATTAGCACTGAAAAGCACAGAGGGAAACTGATCGGAGGCCTCCTAATCGATACACACTTGTTATATTTCTGAGGAGGCAAACACGACAGCGCACTGGACGACACATTGATAAAGTTACATTTGGCACAGTGTGGGTTCTTAAAGACGGTCACAAGATTACCATCTTTATACTGAACCATTTGAGAGTATCGGCGACACTTCTCTTTATCCAGCTGGTTAGGCCAAGCTGGGTCACAGTCTCGCACCTGGTGAGAGAGAAACCAGGTCAAATCAAAATAACAAGTGGAAAAATCTAGTTTAAAATTATGACAGATATGCAACTTGTAGCTCCAGCCTTAAATTCACGAATATTTTATTCCATATCCTCAGTGGCAGATGGTTATTTTGCTAGTGTTAATAAATTTCAGTAATGCTGGAGAGAGAGAGAGAGAGAGAGAGAGAGAGAGAGAGAGAGAGAGAGAGAGAGAGAGAGAGAGAGAGAGAGAGAGAGAGAGAGAGAGAGAGAGAGAGAGAGAGAGACCCGTGTAAAAAAAAAAAAAGAATTTTTAATTTTCTAAATTGGAATATGAAATTTAGTTCATATCGCTTATACTACTACTACTACTGCTGCTACTCCTACTAATAATGCTAATGATAATAGCAACATGTATGAGTGTAGAGGCACTTACTTGCTCCTTGCAGTTCTTCTCTCTGCCTCGGAACTGGGTGAGACACTTGCCCCTCGGGTACACACACAGACGCCCACCATACATCTCAGGAAACATTTCTGGCTTCTCGAACTCGGCCACCTGCCCGGTTATGGATAATAAGCACACTGTCATTCTATATCCCCGTCTTCTTGAGGAAGGGAGGTAGGATATGACTTGATACCGATTAAGTGATTTAATAATAGATAAAATATACATATATATTGAAGGTATAAGGTGCACCTCAAGGCAGTAGTTGCAGAATGTGTACCTCAAAGTAGCACTTATCAAAGGTATACCTCAAGACAGCCTTAATGGACGGTGTACCTCGAGGTAGCAGTTGATGACCTCAAGGGGTGTGTCGTTTTTTCCTCGTCGTCCCCGGTAGCCGGTACTGTGCGTCCGGCCACTGCCGCAATCCCTTTGGGTGGTACTGGCAACCCTTATGAACTCTCCATGCTTATACTCCTTCATGATCTTTATAGAAACAATTATATATATATATATATATATATATATATATATATAAATAATAAAAATATATATATATATATATTATAATATATATATATATATCTTCTTTACAACACACCCGGCCGTATCCCACGAGGCGGGATGGCAAAAGGAAAAAGGAAAAACAAAAAGCTTCTCCTTTTTTAAATTTAGTAATATTACAGGAGAAGGGTTTACTAAGACCCTTGCTCCTGCAATTTTAGTCGCCTCTTTAAACACGCATGTGGCTTACGGAGGAAGAATTTCTGTTCACACTTCCCCATGGAGGAGATATATATAATATTATAATATATATATATATATATATATATATATATATTATATAATATATATATATATATATATAATATTATACATACACTTCGTTGAGCATATCCTTTTCAAAGTATAATCGGTTTTTTTTTCAACAAATGAAATGAGTGGGCGATCATCTCCCGATCCATCAACATCTGAGCAAGAGGTAAACAGGAGTGTTGCAATTGTTTACCTGTTTGGTGTTGCACTTGATGGTGATGTTCCACGAGTGGAGGTCGTCAGCGTCTTTGTTACACACGGCACAGTGGTAGTTGACGTAGGTGGTGTTGGTCGTGCGGGAGGTGACAGGCACGTCTAACGTGTAGCTGTACGACTCTTCAGGCACCTGTGCACATTCAACGAGGAAGTGACATACATTAGTGAACTCCCGAGTGCACATAATGAAGTGTAAATTGTGTACATCCTACTGTACATATTATAATACATTATGTACTAATATAATGGACATAATACAAACTTATAGAACCTCTCATAACTAAGTCAAACCTGAAATTGACTATAGAACCTCTGAGAATTCAAGAGGGTCAAAAAACTAAATTGCAGAACCTCAGAGCTCCTAAGGGTTAAAACTGAAATTAATTAGAACCTCGGAGAACTTGTGGGTGACAACCGAAATTAATTATAGAACCTCTGAGAACTCCAGAGGACTATAATTATAGAGCCTCGGAGAATCCCTGATGGTTAAAATGGAAACATTTATAGTAAGTTAAACCTACATTGTATACATTTGCGTGCCCTCAAAAACCATTGTAAAAAAATTGCATGTTATGTACCCAAGGGCAAAATAAAATTGGCTTACTCTCGGCGAGATCAGTAGCGTACATACCTGGCGAGAACACAGGTGATGGACTGGCCGGTCGATGTACTCTGGTAGACAGGAGTTCACCATCAGTAGCCCCCTTTTATCCTGTGGGTAAACGCCGGGGAAATATGTTGATGAAAGTACGAGGAAAGTATGTCGAGAACAGTGACAGTATACTGGAAGCATAGGGGTGGTATGTTGTAAATGCGAGGATAGTATGGTGGGAAAATAGGGGTGCCCCGTGGCCTGGTGGTTAAAGCTCTGGCTTCACACGCCGAGGCCAGAAACATTGGACGTGTTTAAAGCTCTCGCTTTACATGGAGAGGGCAGAAACACTGGGCGTTTCTTTACACGCCCAATGTAAAATGGGTACCTGGGAGTTAATCTACTGGTGTGATTCGCGTCCTGGGACAAAACTGACCTAATCTGCCCGAAATGCTCTACATAACAAGCGGCTTTCTATGTAGTAGTACGTCATTGGTGTCAGCTAGGCCTGTATACATGTACTGGTAGAAATGAAGATATTATTTATTATTATTATTATTATTATTATTATTATTATTAAGTACTACCATCGTTCAACCACAATAATACTGATGACACATTCGTAGCAGAAAAAGCTTCTCTGGGACAATATTTCGTTCCTTGAGCGAAATATTGTCTCAAATAAAGGCTTGTTTAGCTATGTGAGTGTTTGCCCTCATTGTTGTTGTCACCGACAGTTGTTGCTTAGTAGAGTCTTCGCACTGACCGAAAATTTCATCCTGCCACAAATGTATCGGCCGCTGTTCTCTAGTCTGTCGCCCCAGTCCGCCTGAGCCTTGTCCCTGCAGCAGTCACCGTAGATGAAACAAGCCTCGTCGCACCAGCACGGCCTGTAGGTAGGAAGGTAGTTGTTGACCGTGGTAGTCATAGTGAGTCATGATGACAGTAGTTATAGGTGTGTTGTGAGGGTAGGTATAAATGGGAATTATTCTAATCATGGGGGAGCGTTAAACCCGTAGGATTTTTTTTGTATATTTTATTTAAAATACACATTACAATAAATAAATAAAGCATACAGTGTCTGATATTTCGCCTACAAAAACAATCATATCCTCATAAACAAAACACTACAAGTGTTACACTGCCATTAGAAAATTTTCTCTTCAAATGACTCGGTACAACCCCCAACACGTGTGTGAACAACAAGTTTACACAATATTATACCCGCCATCAATCACATCATTTCAAGTTACAATAATATGTCAGTACACTGCACACACCTCATACATGTAAAATTACTTTACACAAAAACAAAGAAAAACTGTGCAAGCAATACTTATTAAAAACAATTTTCCAATAACCCCTTCCTAACAGCAATATACACATTAAGTACATGTAATAAAATATGTTTGAGCAGTACACCCCTCCCCCCCCAGTACACCCACAACCCCCCCCCCCATAACCCCAGATCATACCATTGTTCAGTGAACGCAAAAACGAATAACCAACGTAATTAAAACCTTGAATAAATTATCTTGTTAACAAACAAAAAAAAAATTTCCCCTTTAGTATAAAATGTTAGATTATGCCAACATGACCCAAAAAATTTTTTTTTTTAGAAAAAAAGGCCCTAAATTTAACTTAGTATTAAAGACTAAACTAAAAACCATGTATATAATTTTTGAATTTCCGTCACCCTGAGAACATTTCACATTTATATAGTTCCCCCGGAAATCACATATTACATATACACTAATTTCAAAAATTGATACATAGCATTAGAAGAAATTATGAAAAGTAAAATTCCAGGATGAAAAATCAAAAAGGTATCCCAAAACCGACAGGTTTTTAAATAAGGGCACTATCAACAGTTTAGACAACTTTTTCCGAAACCCTTTCCCCCTACACAAATGGGCTTCTTCAGTCGAAAACAGAAAATAGGCAGGAACAGTAGAGATGTGAATCATGTAAACATCCCCTCCCCTTGTAGTCCCTAGAATTTTAGGTTTTCGTCCCTCGGGCCCGGGGGAAGTTCAGTTTTGACTAAAGGAACCCGGGAAATTTTCCAGGGCCCATGGGAAATGACAACCCAAATTTACGACTACAAGGGTGATGGACTGATTACATCGTCTTCCCCTCTCTACTGTTCCTGCCATTTTCTGTATTCGACTGAAAAAGCCTACTGGTAGGCCCAAACCCTTTCGGGGAAAAAAGTTGTTTAACTGTTGCATATGTTCTTACCTAAAAACACAAAAAATTTACAGGAATTTAAAATCGTGTCGTAATGTTTTATTAAAATTACATAAAATATTAAAAATCCCCAATTAAAATTTTTTAAGCCTCCTTTGCATTTTCCCCGCCCCAAAATGACATTAAACCCCAAAAAACTTTTTACATGATATAAAATCACGGACTCACCCTTTTCTATACACAAATTTCAAAAGTTGATTAAAATAGCATTAAAAAACTTTTGAAAAGTAAAAATTTACAGGATGAACTTTAAAATGGTTACAATTTCCCACAGGTTTTTTAAATAAGACACATATGCAACAGTTAACAATTTTTTTTTCCCAAAAAGTTTCGCCTACACAGGAGCTTCTTCAGTCGAATACCGAAAATAGGGAGGGAAAAAGGATTGAAGACGATGTTAAAACAGTCCATTTACCCCGTAGTTTTAGAATTTGAGGTTGTCCCCTCCCCCGGCCTGGAGAAGTTCCGTTCCGGGCTAAGGAACTGAATTCTCCAGGCCCAGGGACTGAACCCAAACCCCAAATTTTACACTACAAGGGTTTATTTGGGTGATTAATCGTCTTCACATTCTCCCGTTCCTGCTATTTTCTGGTTTTTTCGACTGAATAGCCACGTGTAGGGGAAACGTTTTGGAAAAAAGTTGTCCCAACTGTTGCATTTGTTCTTACCCAACCCCAAAATTCACAGGAAATTTTATCCCTGTCGTTCATGCCCTTTTAAATTCCCCAAAAAATTAAAAAAACCCGGGGGAAACAAAATTTTTTAAGCCTCCCCCCATTCCCCCGGGCCCCCCAAAAGACAATTTAAAAAAAAAAAATTCAATTTAAAAAAATTTTTGGGTAGTTTACAAAAACCCCCCCCCCCTTTTCCTCAGATCCTCATTTTTTATTCATATTTTATTCCCCCTAATTTTTTCAACAATTCCAAAGTGCAAATGTACAAATATGGGAGGGTCCCGCGGGCCCCCCAAAACCCAAAAACATTTTTTTTTTTTAAAAACAAATTAAAAAATTTTAACATGGGTATAAAATTACCACAGTACTTCTTATAAATTTCACATAAAGTGTAAATCATACAAGGTCCAGACATTATATAAACCCCCAAAAACGATACCAAACCACCTACCTGACAGTGAGTTAAAATTCCCCTAAGACCAAAAATGTTATTTACTACTTGGGGAAACTAAACTGAATCGGGTGACTGACCGAAAAAATTAATTTAAACCCCAAGGAACACAACCAGGTCAAAAATTTGATGCCCCTCACATCCCCACACTCACATAAACACAACCCCCCAAAACCTACCCCCCCACCAACATTAAAGGGACCTGCCCCTTGCCCCCCCCCCATAAACCCCGGGGGATTTCCCCACAGAGAGGTTACGAAACCCCCCGAGAAAGGGCCCTCCCAAACCCCCCCATATATAATCTATTCCTAACACGTTCTATAACCTTGCTGCTAACGCTTTTATCCCAACTGCCCTTTAATCTGCCCTTTCCCCCAAAGAAACACAAATAACTCCATAAACATACATAAAACCCCTTCCCACTTCTCGGATACCCACGACATCCATCGAAAAAGGCCAAAGAAACCCCAAACCCCTCCCCCCCCCCCCCCCCCAACAGCCCGATAAAAACCCGCCATCCCCGACCCCCACCCCCCCAAAACGGGCAAAAAAAACCCCATGATAGGCGGGGTTCCTCCTCCCCACGAACAAGCATGTTGCCTCCCCACCCAACCCCATTTTTTGCAACACACTTGGATGCTACTACCCCCCATAAAACGGAACCCACTCCCCGACCCTTGCTGGTATCCTAAGACCTGAAGTCCCCCAAAACCCTCCCTTATACATGGGGTACACGGGAACCCCCTGTAAACACCCCCCTTTCCCCCACCCCCACCCACCAAATTTTTAACCCTCAAACTTGAAACCTGTCTCACTGTCAACAAGAACCTCAGCAAATCCTCAATTCCCTGCCACTCCATCAGCTTAACCCGTAGGATTATACAGTGCATGTGGTGGGGGATGGAAGGTATTCAGGCTTAACTCAGGGAACCGGGGCACAGATCAAATTCCCTAGATCAAGAGCCTCTCACCAGCGTCAAGGAGCCTCCCTTAAGGGGTATAGGTGGGGAGATGGTGATGGTGACAGTTATTGCTGGTAGGCAAAACGAGACTGATCAGCCCAAAATATATAGGAAGAGGACACTTGTGCACAGTTGAGGACATTTATTAAAGGAAACGGTTGACCACGAGTGGTTTCATCATTAGGACTGGCGAAACGTTTCCTTTAATAAGCTTCATCATTAGGACTGGAGAAACGTTTCCTTCAAGTGTCCTGAACTGTACACAAGTGTCCCTTTCCACAGTTTCTATATATGAAACGTGTACTCACCTATTTGTGGTTGCAGATGTGTGTGCGCGCGCTCTCTCTTTCGACATACTGGTCTTTTCCCACTGAAGTTGGGTTCCTCCACCTTAAATTTATACGCCCTCCTATTTTTCTACATTCTTTCTAAATGTTCAAACCACCCCAAAAACCCTTCCTCATCCCTCTGAATAATACATCTGGTAACCCCACACCTCCTAATCTTCAGATTCTCTGCATAATATTTACACCTAATTTTACCCTCAAACACGACGTCTCCACTGCCTGCAGCCTTCACTAGTGGAGGACATCACCCAACTAAGAGAGAATATCAGGTGGGTCAAATGAGAATTCAACAAAGGTGCAGCATTCGAGGAATTATTTGAGTAGCTTCAACAGAAACACTTAATTATTCAAGTGACGTGAGTTACTAGAGATGTCTAAAAAATATGTTGATGTGTTGTGCGAATTCTACTGTCCACCCACACTGTCCAAGCCGACCTAAAAGTAATGTTTATACATACACTTATACATTCATTATTTTTTATAACAATTTCCAGACTAAGAGTTCATTTTAAAGCAAAGTCCTATCTAAAGTATATTATTATTCACCATGATAAAACCCATAACAGTCCACTAACACTCAGAAGCCAGAAGCCTATTTACTGCAAGGTAAACAGGGGTTTCAGTGCAAGAGGAATTGCCATACATCTTGCCTTGTCTAGGAATCGAATTCCGAAACTTTGTTTTAAAACGAACATTTTTACCAGTGAACCACAGATCACCTGTAACTGCTGTCACTTATATTCTCAAACAATATCTGAAGGTTACAGTGGTTAATATCAAAGACTTTAGCAAGGATAAACAGGCTTTTGAAATTGCCACCGAAGCTCATTACAATTTACTCTTAGATATTATATAAAAAAAGATAAGCATGTATGAAATTACTGTTATAATGGTATTCGTAGCAGTCTTCAAGCAGAGTACATAAGCCAGAGGCTGTTAGAGGCAAGGAGTGTCTTCAGAGTATACAAATTAGAGGGGCTAGGTAATGTCTTCACGTAGAGCATACAAGTCAATGTAAGAGGAGTGAAGGAGTGTCTTAGAGCATAGAATACAAGTTAAACACAGTGTTTAAAGCAGAGGATACAAGTCAGACAACATACTTGCACAATTCATGGGAATCGTGTAGGATGGCTGCTGCTTTGGTGTTATTGTGCCAGCAGAGGGACTCCTCCCGCACACATTGATTCATGTTGTCCAACATCTCTTCCACTTCTTCCCGCATGTCCTCCCACGGCACAACCGGGTACTCCCCGCCCATCACACCCAGGCTCAGGACGGGCGTGCACGTCAGTATAATCAGAAATAAGCAGATAGTACCTGCAGCAGTTCTTCGCGCCATTGTAACAGTAGCGACGCCGGGAAGGCAAGGTAGGGAGTGGTTACTGAAGATTGTCCGTCGATTCATTCTGAAAGTAGTGTCGAGTGTGTACATGTTATACTTCAGGTGCATTTAGTCAACATAACATGACAACCAGAAATAATCTGCATAGTCAGCCACAACAACAGTTCACAGTAATGTTCATTCTAAGCTCCGCGCCTGCGCAACAGCCTACCAAGTATTATGCACTAAGCCGCGCATTCACAGAGAAGCACAAGGCTCTAACTACCTAGTTCATACCTTCACTGATGAGGATGATGAAGATGTTGAAATTAAACTTGACGATCCACAGGACCAGGCTAATTTGATGGGTGATGTATGGGAGAAAATTCTCTCCCACAATAACAGTCGTCAATTTAACAATAATCATTATCAGTTGGTAAATGAATGGAGAGATGAGAACTTGGATGATCTACAACCACTACCTTCCATCGATACTTCAACTCTTGAAGATACCCACCCGCTTACTAGACCTATTACATTACTAGAGATGAGTCAGGTCATTGGAAGAATGCGAAATAGAGCCCCTGGCCTCACTGGAAAAATGAAACAGATAAAGTTCCTACCTAGAAATTGTAAACAGTCTTTGGTAAATATCTTTAATGCCATCTTGGCCTCAGGACATTTTCCAGTGGTTTTTAAGACTGCTAGGATGATCTTTCTTGGTAAACCCAAAAAAGACCTCCACCAACCGGGAACATAGACCATATCTTTATTTGAATCACTGGAAAAGTTTTTGAGAAAGCTTTTCCAACAATTAACACATATGGATTTTTAATCCTTTTTTCTGAAAACAATTTGCTTTAGAACACAGAGGTACCAACATGCAATAAATGTTTTTTCGAACTGTAGCAAGCAAAACATCAGGGCAATTTTTCCCTTAAATTTACCACCAGAGATGTTCAAAAACTTTTTGAAGCTTAGGGCAGAGGCCTTTATAAAACAAACTCATTGACCTACCAACCATAACGGACTTTTCCAGATTAATACATAATTTCTAACTCAAAAAAAAATCTTCCCCCTTTTCAGGGCAGGTCGGCAGAGCCTTTTATACCGACACGGGTGCCCCAAAAGGGTTTCTTGTCTAAGTCCAATTCTTCAACATTAGTGAAGCCCTTTCCTCAACCAAGTTTAATGATACAATTGTACACATTTGCAGATAAAGTTTTTCATGTCGCTCATAAACTCCGGAACAGGAAAATACAAGTATGAAGAGCTAAAAAAATGAATATGAACTTCGTAGAACATCAAATTTGGGGAAAAAAAATGGAAATTCGACAAATCCTGACAAGGTCCTTTTTAGCACGATAGGATTTTTTTGCAAAAAATTGAAGATAAAGGGGGTACCCATAAAGGTACACCGTACCATTAGAAACCCTAACAAATTTTTTGGATATGAAATAACAGGCGCTCCACTCAAATCTCTTTAAACTAAAAAAAAACAACATAGCCAAACCCGGGTCTTACAGTCTTTTTCGATTCAATCAACCCCCTCAACAGTAAAAAAACATCTGTAAAAAAAGATAATAAGACCAATATTTCAAATACCCTTTGTGTCTCAATGTCAAAAAACAACAAAGCCCAAACAGCTACGGCAAAAAGGGGTCCAGAATAGAGCTTTTCTCTTCATTACCGATACCAGGGAGAGACAAAAAAAAGGCAGATTTACACATAAAACAAAATATTACTGCCAAAAAGCGCCTCGACCTCTAAAAAAGAAACAACTCTATTCAATGAAAGAACAACTGCCAGATAGAGAACTCATAACAAGTGGAAAAACCCCGTTTATATAATCAATACTACTCCTCCCGGGACTCAAAGAATACTCTCCCACAGAGGGTCCGCGTTTTATACATAAAGACATTACCACGCCCCTTTGATATTGAGCAACCCCCCTGATGAAGAAGATTGGGAAGCACCAAACCCTTTATTATACTAAAAAAATCACGCCCCCAATTAGGAGACTTTTATAAAAAAAAACTAAATTAAAAATTATGCTATTACCATGCTGGACCCCCACCTGAAGAACCCTTTGTCACGTAACCCCATAAACTGGCCAAAAAATTTATTGCCTTCATTGTCGCATAAAACCCGTTGTGCAATCGCAAAAAAAAAAAAAAAAAAAAAAAAAAAAAAAAAAAAAAAAAAAAAAAAAAAAAAAAAAAAAAAAAAAAAAAAAAAATTGCAACTTGTAAAAATTACTCCCAAATTCAGGTCATTACTTATATATGTTATATTATTGACTCTGAGGGTTAGTATTATACCCCCTTAAAGCATATCTTATTTTACATATTTTTTTTAAAATTACACCAAAGGTTTGGGCCATTTCCCTTTTTAAACCCTACCTCCTCCCCCCCCCCACCCTTTTTCCAAATTCCACCCTTACCCATCCTTTCCTTACCCATCTTACCAAAGCTCTGGCATCGGAAAAGAAAAAAATTCACAAGATTATATGACTAAACAAAGCATTTTTTTTTTTTTTTTATTTTATTTAAAAAAAACAAATCAAACATACTTTGTGCATATTAGATTACAAAACAAAGAAACATAACCATTAAATAATAAAAACAAAAATCCACATTCCTTACCCACAACCCAACTAAAACTTGATTCCCCTCCAAAATGCCCAAACCAGCACACACAAAAACATTAAAAATAAAACCACCCCCCACCTGAAAAACAGGGGCGTTTATTTATATCCATAAACACAGCCCGCCTTATAACACAAAAGACAATAAAACCCAAAAAATGTCACATTATTTACATTAAAATGAAACTTTTTAAAAAAAGACATTCTCAAAAAATCCCTGCGTTACACATCATTATATTTAATTAAAAATTAACACAAGGACATAATTACAATATAAAAAATTTCAATATAAAAAAGGGGGACAAAATACCATTCCACACCTTTCCCCAAGAAACTAAAAACTATTAAAAAAACAAAGATACACACTCTTTACATAGCACATTATTATCAGTGTTTAACAAAACTTTGAGTGTTTCCTTCTGTAGTGTCTCACAAAATCATTTACCTTTAAAACTATGATCATCAATGACCTCTTTCTTTTAAAACATGGGAAAACTAAAACATTCACACACAAGAAAAAACCCCCAGTTACCCACTCTGACTGTCTCCTCCCATACAACCTCATGACAACCTACCACATTTTCAACCTTCTTATGGTCATAACCGCTCTAGAAAAGGAAAAGGGCCTTAGTACTTTAAAGCCAAATTTCTGAGTCCCTTACCGTTATATTTCTAATGCCTCCGGGAAAGCAGTCGCCCACCTGTTACCATAAATGAGTTATTTTGCATACTGTCGATAAAATTTCCCGCCGCAATTGCCCTTCCCCCAATCCCCCCGCTTTTCCTTCAAGCCCCCCGGAAAAAACAAGAAAACTGTCACAAGTACAAAGGCTCTTTTTTCAACCTCAACAACCCCCCCTTACCTCTAAAGTTTGGGGACCAGGACCTACATGCCCCCCACCCATAACTTGAAAACTCTAGCCAGCCACAACCTTACCCCCGCCCCAAATCCTACAAAAATAACGCATGAAAAAAGTTTCCGATTCCTCCAATGTTTACATTTCCCTCCTTTACCAAACCCATCACACCCAAAACCGCTTTGACGCAAAATCCCCCTTCAAACCATAAAATAACTCCCTTTCCCCAGGATTAATTTAAGTTTCTGGAAACATGCCAAATCGACCCCAAACATACAAAGGGTATACCGCCACCCCTTGCAAACACTTCTGGTTTTCCTACCATCTCTACTAACCTTCCCCCTTGAGCTTTTTTTTCCTCACCTATTCAACATGACCCTTAGCATATTCTCACATTCCATCAATCCTTTTTCCCCCCCCCACCAAAGACGAAAATCCCTCACACCCCGCCCAACCCCCACCCCTTTTTAACCCCCCCCCCCCTTACGTACTTTTTTTAACAACATTGCCTTTACCCCGGCCCTAGCTCAAAACCCTACTCCCCCTCGGCCACTTCGCAAACCACCTCTTTACTTAGGGCCAGCCGTCCCCAAACCCCCAAAATAACGAAGCCCCTTCTCTGTATCTCCTTTATCTCCTGTTTCCCCAAAGGATACACCACGCCACGTTCCACCCTTTCATAAACCAAGAAATTTTTTATTATTGCCCTTTTCAATGAGTAACATCCTTCGCTCTTAGATTCCTAACCTTGTAAACTTTTTCTCTCCCACAATTCCGAATTCCTCCCCAGCCCCTTGCTATCTGCCATATAGATAACCCAAAATTTTTAGCTTTCATCACATCCCATCCAAACTCCACCCCCCTTTTAACCCCCCCCCCAATCCCTATCTCAAAAAATTTCGATTTACTCTTTGACCCCAAAACCCTCCGACGCCTCCCAAAAACCTCATTCTCTCCACCTTTTGCAAACCTTTGCATCATAGACATATTGTTGTGTCACTACATAACCAACTACCCCCTGTAACCCTTACCTCCTCCTGAACGTTGTTGCTTCCTCAACCATTCCATAAAACGGGGGTTCTACATCAAACAGAATTTGAGACTAGGGCACCTTGTCCAAACCTTTTTCCCCTTTTCAACACGCTACCCAACCTACCATTAATTTGCACCTGAACGTAGCTTCTCATACAAAGGGCTTTTACCCTTTTACTATTCCCTCCCCAAAACCCATAAGCCCTTTAAAATGCAACCAGTACCTCTATTCACACCCTCATAACATTCCCCAATCAAGCCCAAAATCCACCACTCTTACAACCCTGCAAAAAATTTCCCCAATCACAATCCATCCCTCATCACGACCCGGGAAATTCCCAACTGACCCTTGTGCACCATACCACCTATTAAATTCTTCACCTGTTCCCTAAAATCTCGCAAAAATCTTATAACTTCACTTAAAGAGATGGCCCTGTAGTGCTAGTGTTCCCTCCCTCGCTTTTTTTTTTTTACAAGCACACCACACCCTCCTCTTGACGTTCCCCAATTTTCCCCTTCCTTCACATACAAACAAACCCGAACCAAAAA